TTTTTGAGTCAGCAAAATTGACCATTTTTTTTCCATTTTAAAAAAAAAATGGAAATCTGACTTTGAAATTTTTTTAAATATCAATTATCATTTTTCAAAACTTATTTTAAGAAAATCAGAAATTATGATGTTTATTTAAAATATTTTGAACCAAACTTAACTTAGCTTTTGTGCCAAAAAGATGTAATTTGAAAATAAAACAAAGCAGGTCATAAACTTTCGCGTCTCTTGACATGTGATGAATGATATATTTCTGAATTCCATGAGGCTAATTTGTTTCTGGAAGGAGAAAAGTGAAATAATTTACATTTACGTGAACAAATTATTTACCCGTTATTTTTAAAGAAAACTTTCAGCGGTCTAATTTTTTTTTTTTGTACTTAGCTTTCACCTTTACGTTTATGATGCTTTATGGGAAATATAGTGTAAAGAAATTAAAATAAAACTGTTAAGAGTGACATTAAATTTCATATTTCTTAAAGGTATCTAATTAATTTATAGGTACCTTTCTTATGAAATTTTATCAGAATTGTACATAAAATACTAAAATTTTATGTACATTTATTACATTCTACTGTTATTTGTATTTACATTCATTTTATTATTAATTTTGATATTTCATTTATGGAAAAATGTCGTAACTGAGATTAATATAAAAATAAGATCATATAAATTTCATAAGATGATACTGATACTTGTAGGTACCCTTCTCAGTTGAAATTGAAAAATCAAATTAACTTCTCCACACGTGTTTTCAGCAAAAGTAAAAGGCCTTAACAGCGGAGAACAATGCTTAACTCAAATAACGCAACTTAATTATATTCTGGTTGGTCTTACGTATTTTATAATTACAGCTCGATTATAAGCACAAAATTACATTTCTTAATTACTGGGTATCTTCTGATTAGTCAAAATGATACAATTTACAAGCGCTAAAAAAAAAGATCTATCTCATAAGGACACTTATGAAAGCCGATCTGACTTTTAACTAATTTTATAATATTTTAACAACTTAAATGTAAAATCTATTATAATTAATGAAATAACAAATAATTGTATTAAAATTCATTTTCATCGAAAAATTTTTTTTGCTTTCAGAAAATATTGTTCATATTCATAAAAACAAATAAAAGCATTTGAAATTAAATAATATATTTGTTTTATTGAGTTTTGTATGTTACAATTCAGAGCTGATTTTCAGGTACTGCGTATCCAGTTAAAAACAAAAAAAAATATGATTTGCATTCCTCAAAGCCCTGTGCTTTTAATTATTGTAATCACTAAAACCGATGCGATCGAATTTCTAGCGTTTTCATAAAATTAGTTATGGGGGGGGTAATAAATATTTAAAAAAAAATATTTCTACCATGACTTTCATAAAAAAAAAAACATATTTATAATAATTTCGATCATCTGTGAATAGTTTCTGAAAGTTTCATTAACATCCGATAATTATTTCTATTTTTGCACGATTTTTCAAATTAATGTGTGTCATACCAAAAAAACGTGCTAAAAATTGTCTATGTTATTTACTAGTTCCGCTGATACAAATAGAAAAAAGTTTTTTTAATCAAAATTTAGAATGTTCTAAAAAGAAGGAAATTTTTTTAAAAATAATTAAAAAAAAAACTTTGGTCTTTCCTCTTAATAATAACATAAGCATTTAGACAATAAAATTTAGTTTTCGGCAAATTTGGCGTCTTTTTCATCAAGCTATGCTCTTTTTTTAGCGATTTCGTGGAGGTACCTAGGTTAGGATATTGTCACATGGACGCCTTGACCAGAGATCGCGTTACAACTGACACCGTGTGAGAGGATCGGCATTACACTATATTTATGGGTAAAAGTGCTCAATATCAAGAATGGAGAGTGTGTGAATATAAGAATAAACATGGAGGTCAGTATCAAGTGGCAACAGTCTTTCATGTTTGAACGCAATCTTTAGACCATGTGTGTTAAATAGTAGCTCAACTATTTCTATATACTGGTCAGTGGGACATTATGGGTAGCAAGGTTAGGTATTTCCAAACAGTTATTGGACAGGCAGGCAAGAATGCTTACATTTTAAATTCTAAAGGCTAAAGAGCCAGAATGTGGTTATTTTGTAGATATAGCATTTTTTTTTGTAGATATTATGATGCTGTGTTCCTTATTTTCCATGATATTTTTGGTGAACTTTTTTTTTTTTTTTGTTTTAAGTTTCCATGTACATAAAAAAAGGGTTGTGCTGTTCACATATTTACTATTGGTAAAGGTTTTGTGTACATAGGCATAACTAAAAGAACCTGGAAACTGTATATTTTTTCTTCATTATCTGCTGTTTTTTTTTTTTTTATACAGTGGTTTGGTATATATTGTTTTGCAAGCAATTGTTATTTATAGTTACAGGTTGGTTTGACCAGTGTGAGTTATTTATTGTTTATTTTTCTATTGTTCTTTTTATTACTTGTGTCATATTCTCAGTGTAACTGGAACTGATTTTTACTGTGATTCTGTTGTAACATGAAAAGTTACATAGTTGATGTGGTTTCATCATATAAAAAATGGAATGCTCTTAAATATTTGTAATTTTTGTATGATTTAATTTACTGGAACATGGATGTTTAATATTTGATTAAATAAATTGTTTGTTTCTTTTAAACATGTCCCTTCTGGATATAGGTGATCACTCTTGTAACCACGCCCGCAAACAGAGGGGAGAGGATGTTCGATCAATAACAATTGGTGAATACGATCCGTGACCTGCGGAAGAAAAGGGAAAGAAATGTTCGATCAATAACAATTGGTGAAACACGATCACGTGACCTGCGGAAGAAAAGGGAAAGAAATGCTCGATCAGGGCGATTGGTTGAAAAGCGGTCACCTGACATACGAGAGACTAAGAGATGGATGTGCGCTGCCCCACCAAAGGTACTGCGAGGAAGTAGGGGCGAAAACAATAGCGATAAGGAGAAGACAGAATTAATGCAGTTTTGGAATTATCGAGAAAACCCTGACGCCGACAGACCCACCCCAGTTTTTTTTGCTGCGTCAATAAAAGCAGGACCCCAGTCGACAGAAATCAGTTGGAGTTGCAGTTGGAGTTGAGAGTTGGACGCGGGCAGGGATAGAGCCTGAAGCGCGGCCATCAGGCCCGATTCACTCGCCCCTTTGCGGGCAGAAGAATCCTCAGACAAGAAATCCTTCCAGCCCAAGTCGAAGACAGGAGAACTTCCAGCCCAAGTGAGCGAAGAAGAAGATTGCCTGAAAGCCTGAGAAGAATTGGAGATGCAGACAAGCCCGAAAGTCGATGAGAAGTTAGAGTTCATCCCGGACGGCAGCGAGAAAAGAACCCTCAGACAAGAAGAACTTCCAGCCCAAGTAGATGAAGAAGAAGATTGCCTGAAAGCCTGAGAAGAATTGGAGCTGCAGACAAGCCGAAAGTCGATGAGAAGTTAAAGTTCAGCTCGGACGGCAGTGAGAAGAGACCACCTCAGGCGACAGAGAGTTGCGGCTAAGTTGAAACAAGAAATCTTCCACCAAGTTGGAACAGGAAAACTACCAGCCCAAGCAGGCGAAGAAGAAGAAATACAACTCAAGTCGGAGAGAAGAATCAACTGCGAATGATCGATAGAAATTAGCCCCAGTGTCGAACTGAACCACACTCCGACATACATACATGATTCTAGAAAGTAGGTAATTCGACATTTTTCTATTGTGTGATAGAAGCTTGGTGCCATAGTCCACAGAGCGGGTCGGGAAATGAGAACACTTTTGTTTTTATGTAACGGACTTTAAGATATAAAAAGGTTGTTACCCTTTTTATCAGCAATTTTGTTTGGTGTCGTGAGTTTTATTTTATTTGTGTTTTGCCACCCCGTCGGACTCAACTTGTATCGGCCCCGATCCCTGCTGGTCCCGTCTGTCTAAGATCTAAACACAGCGTGGGTAGACAGACCGGAGATCGGTATAGTTGCTTTAGTGACCAGGTATTGGAAGCGAGTCGGGAAAGGCGAGGCTGGTGATCATCTGACCAAAGGGTTGGAGCGGCACGCTTGGACCCAGGAGGAGCGACCAGGAGGAGCGACGTCACCGTTGGCGCTGTAACCAAAGGATCCGACACTGGGCCAGGTGTGTAACCGTCACACTCTCCACAAATTCCATTTCTTTAACTGATTGCCATGACTTCTTGAAAGGAGAAGAAATAAGATTTATGCCCTTCAACAAAGAAAGATAGAAATTGAACTCTGCTCGCTGATTCCACTTCCTGCTTGTGCCAATTACCATTACATACATCCACTCAGTGCAAATCCTATTGAGATTCTGACTTTGACCTCTCAAGGACAAGACAATACAACAGGATACTGGAAAGTTCTTAACAGGACATAGTCCCAAAATGACCAAACATCAAGCTTTTTTTTATTTTTTTATTATTATTGTCAGGCTTAGAATTTTTCAGCACCCGCTTATAAGTCTTATGTGAAGGAATAAGTTAGATATTGAAATATCTACTTTTATATTTGTATGAATTTTTATTCATGCAAATATAGTTATTTCAATTTTTTGTTGGGTGCTGAAAAGTTCTCTGCCCATCCACTTTCCAAAATGAGTATTTCAAGTGACCAAACATCAGAATACTGGCTTTTGGAAATTGATCAGGCCAAGAACTTTTCAACAATACTTTGTGCATATATTTTAGTATTTTTAAAAAAATCTAACTGTTTTTTTTTTTTTAATTTTTTTTGCAAGATATAGTTTCATCCTAGGAACTTGAGCATTTAATATTTATACATCATTGTTGGAAAAAGAAATTATGGTTCTTTTTGCATATTTCATTATTTTTATACCAGGTGATAGATGAAAAGAAACTTTTTCAAATCTATATTTATATAAATAACTCAATAATCTCAATTTTTTTAATTGCAGGAATCCTTTACAAATGAGCTACTTTCTGTGAACTTTACATGATTAAAAAAAGAGAGATTCAGGTTGAAATGTCCTCCAGGTGAAAGTCATTCATTATGCCATATGAAGATCAGTGTGGCCGCACATGTGGCTTCCTCAACATAGAAGAAGAGGAGAATACTGGGGTTTTCAAGCGGAGATACTTTCAGCTTGATTCCCACTACAACAAACTGCATTACTTTAAGGATAACCCTATAGTAAGTATTAAATGACCATTTTTTTACATCTTATTTTAAGGTGCGCATAGGATGTAAATTAATGCCTGAACTCAAATAGATTGATGCAAAATTCTTATGTTCAGTTAAGTATTTAACTAGTCTAAAAATGTTTTTGTTTTATTTTCTGCTGTGCCCCTTCTGGATGTTGATGATAATGATTCCTTATAGCGTTCTTTCTTTTGTAGCTCTATGCAACATTTGTCCACTTAACATTCATCCCAGTCCCAACTTTTCCATCTATTTACACAAACTTGTTAAAACTTGCTGTTTCTCTTGTACCGCTCTTTTTTCCACTATGTCCTGTGTCAAGTTCTCCAAGCCCTCTTTCTTCCTCATATATCCCAGAAATTTCAATTGTATTTTTCTGATGTACAAGGTGTTCCAGAAGTCACCTAAGAATTTAAAAATCTAGTGATGTCAACATTTTTTTTTTTAATTCAAAAATAGTTTTATACAGAATGAAAATTTAAACACTTGGAATATATTACCATTTAATTATGAAAAATTATACAACATAAATATCTTCCATTTTCAACTTCACACAGATACACTCTTTCAATAGTATTTTCCATAACTGTACTCAATAAATCTGGTCGTAGCCCTCAAATGTTTACACAGATGTTATCCTTGAGTTATTAAATTGTCTGGTTTATTGATGTGTGCACACTGCTTAAAGTATTCCCCCTAAAATAATTGGGAGGCATTAGATTAAGAGAACATGGTGACCTTAAAATCCCATGATTTGGGTTTTTATTCAGTTGTGAATTTTCCATGGTTAATTTTCCTGTGTTAATCTAAGTTCTGAAGAAAAGGGATGAAATAAACTGAGATTAACTAGGTGACTTTTGGAACACCATTTATAAATGTTCTTTTCATTCCCCTTTTCCTTAAAACTTTGTATTCTCAGCAACCCTGCTGTCCCTTCAATTCTTCTCTTGATCCATGAGGGAATTTTCTAACATTTATTACCATATAGGAGCATAGACATATAGCAATTCAAAACTCTTTTTCTTTGTTTCTAACAAAATTTCATGATCTCTTAATATTTTTAGTTTCTGGAAGGCAGTGTGCTATTAGATTTCTGTGTTACATTTTTCATTGTCTGTTATATCACTACCTAGATGGTTAAATTTCTGCATCTGCTTGATTCTGATGACTGTACATTGTCTTCTTTTAGTTAATAGTTCTGGAAAACCACAAACAGGATTCTTAATAGAGGCAAACCATTAGTGCCTACTATTATAAATGGCCCTGAGCTTACTTCATCCTTGTCAGATAAAGCTAAGCTCTTTGCAATGAACTTTGCCTCTAACTACACTTTAGACAATAAGGACCATCCCCTACCTGGCTCACTCCTCTCATGAAGAACAAACTTTATGATTTCTTTATCTCAACTTGGGAAGTTTCTAGACTAAATCTACAAACCTTCACTCTACAGACTCCAGTTCAGACAAAATTCCAGTGATCATTCTTAAGAACCTTAGACAACCTTAGTCCAGAATTATCTCTAATATTAGCAAAATTGTTTAACCACTGTCTGAAGAAATTTCCCAAATCTATAGAAGGTGTTGGCTGTATGCCCGGTTTTCTAGAATGTGCATGAACACTCATCTCTGTCTCAGCTTCCTTAGTGTCATCAGGTTATTATCAGCAAGAAGGTTGTTGGTCACCTTAACAGAAACAACTGCAACAAAACTATGGATTTCACTCTGTTCACCATTGACATCATTACACACGCAATCAATGAAGCACTCATAAATTCATCATGAGAACGATTACCTTAGATATCTCAAAGTCCTTTGACAAGGTGTGGCATACGAGTTGCTACACACTCTCTATCTTTGGCATCTCTGTAAACCTTGCAATTATTAAGTCATTCCTATTAGATAGGTCCATGAAGGTTATCTTTAATAGGTATTTTTCTGAAGCCTATGACATCAATGCAGGTGTCCCTCAATACTCTTTCCTCAGTCCTGCTCTCTTTCTACTCCAGAAATCTAGATGATCAGCCTGGCATCTGATCTCTGATCTTGCTATAACAGTGCAATGTGGAAAAACTGGCTTCTATCATTCAATACCTCCAAAACCAAACTATTAATGTTCTATCATCACCAAGTAGATTGAATTTTTCCTGTTTGGATATACTCTCCATGAAGTTCCTTGCCTTGAACATCTATTGGGACTCAAGTTCACTGCAGATCTCAAATTTCAAGTTTTCCTTTCTGAACCTATTTCTATGACAAATTTCCTATAGTCTGATTTACACTCCTCTCCAGTCTTTTGAACAGGAGTGGATGTTTATCCCTTGTTTCCAGTTTAGGATTGGGTTTCCAGTTGATTCTAAAATCTTATTTTCTTTCACTCCCAGTAACTCCTTCTGTCTTAGTGACTTTATCAATTTGCTTTGGGTGAATTAATTATAAAAAAAACTTATATATATAAATGTTCAGACAGGCTATATTTCTTAGTTCCACCAGTTCAGCCATTTACTGTTAGGACATACCATATCATGTATGCAGCCATCTTCATTGTCTTTGTATTCCATTGGCAAGAAGGAAGTTCCACTTGAACAGCTTCTTGAGAATGGATACTTTGTAGAACACTTTCAAGAGGATCATTACAATCTTAACCTCTTCTAGGCTCAGCTGTTATCTATCTTATATATCCTCATAATCTGCTCTTACCTGTTCATACAACAACATCATTCCATAACTCTCTATATTGAGTGGCTCTTCAACTTTGTATTTAGTGAATATTTAGTTTTAAAATGTCTTTAGTTAATAAATATGAGAATTTTTAATTACATCTTGCTTTGGTTGTTAGAAAATGCATTCAATGTCCTCATAATAGAAAGTTACTTACATCATGTATAATGTTTACTAATTTTGATAACTTTTCTTTTTTTTTTTGCACAAAAACCTTTTAGGGAAATTTTTATGATATTCAATTAATATTTTTATCAAATTATATTTTAAAGTTTTCCATTGCATTGAAAAATGATATTTGAAAATTTTAAGTTTTATGGAATCTATATTTGGAAGTATTTATTGTACATTATATAAAAATGGTATATTTTAGTTGCATTTTCTGATTGATTATATAGGATATTTTTACTGTTAATTGATCAATTTACTAAGAATATGTGGTAATTAGCAATCATGTTAATAGTTTTAATGCTTTTCACGAACAGAAATGTAAGACAAAAATGGCAAGCAATATTAAAGGTTAAGAAATTTGGCTAAAAGGTAATAGTAAGCACATTACTTATGTTTAACTCATTATTTACTTAAAAGGGCCAATACAAAATTTTAAACTTCAAAAGACTACTGCATAAAAAAATCGTGCTTTTAATATATATACATCTTCAAAGAAAATAATTATATTTAATGTATGTAATATTTATTAATATAAGCAAAGTTTTTAAGCTAGAGTAAAATTATCTTTGACAGCAATGCACAAATTATTTCAACTGCAAACATCTTGATCAGAAGAAAATGCAAGTATTGCTTGTAGCATGAACAAATTATGGCAATTCAAAGTTATAAACAATGTGCATGACTCCTCTTATCATTATATTATGTTCTTTTGTAGTTTAAATTTATAACTAAAGGTGTATGCAGTAAAAATATTATCTTACATAGCAAAAGTGGCTTTAAAAAAAGTTGACATTCACTTTAAGTAATGATTAGGTTGCTGATGGCTTAAGTACAAATTATTTGGATCAGCATCATAAAATAAGATAAAAAAAAATGTTCCTTCAAAATTTTAAATAGGTTATGTGTAATTAATTATGCAACCAGCATGAAATTTAACAGGCTTGTCATTATTTTTCATCAATATGGAAGAATTTGAATGTCCTTGGCTAAGAAGTTATTTATAAAAATGTACCAAAATCGTAAGTAAAAATGCTGCTCACAACTATATCTTATAAATTTAGCTTTAAAAATGACTTGTTTAAAAGCTTTTATTTTGAAAAACAGTGGCATTAAATTTCAATGGTTTAGGATTGAATCATTGAAATTAAGAAATTGTAAAACATTTTTTATACAAGAAATGTATATAACTGACAAGAACTTAAAATTCTGCATATCTCAACAAATTTATGTAATGATTTATCTTCATTAGGTTTGATAATTTTTATAATTATTTTGATGAGTATTATACATTGTACCTTGCTGACCAGTTATCTCATTTTTGTGGGGGTTTATCACATATCAGCCACTGTAATTTTTGTTTTTCTAAATATAGTCTTTTGCATTCAGTGACTTTCTGGTAATATCAGATAAATTATTTGATACCTGGGGAATGTTGCTCTCATTTCTGTACTTGTCATATCTAGTATTTTAGGGAATTTCTAAACTTGTAAATGTTATTTCTTCCTGACTAAACCTCACCCTGAGCAGGTGTATATTTTTACAGACTTAACTCCCAAACTCAAGGAAATTGATATCAACTAGGCCATAGTCTGTTGGACACTCAGTAAGGTAGTGGCGTTCTGGAGCTTTAAATCAAATGTCTTCTTTCTTAGAGGCTCCAAGCCAATGTTCATGCCTATGGCCAGCCTGCTTGGATGATTTGAGCATAGCATGTGCAATGATTCCTTTAATCATCTTATTCTCAAGCGCATATGTGCGTGCACACACACAGACAGACTTTATAGTGTACAGCTTTCTGATATTTCTCAAATTTTATTTTTAGGAAGTGGTAGGTTTTGCCTTTGTATTTGTCATTTGCCTGAAATGTTATACACCCTGTGCTCAGCAATGTTGTTTTGCAGAAATTTAATTCTAACGAGGTATCTGCATGGTATGAAACTAAATTTGAATACTATCCTGATGTTATATGTTCAGCATATCCTCTAACTTTCCCCAAGGTAAGGTTGAATAACTGTAGCAAGTTTATGATTCTCATTTTAACTTGTACATCTGCTGATATTACAGTCACATGGGACTTATTTCTTTGGAGTTTACCCTTTAAGC